AAATAGCACATTTTATCTCTGAAGCAGACAACTTCTCAAAAATTGTAAACCAGTGTTATATCCAGGCATCCCAATTTTTTACAATGTGGTAGGCGTGTCAGGAAAATGACACATCTGGTTTCCACCTTAGGGCTCTGAACTGCTGACAGGCATGCTGGGTGTTAGCCCCATCCTGATTCTGGCCTTTTTTTTTAAAAGTTTTTACTCATTCATGTGTTCTTTAGGCATTTCAGCTGCCTCCTCTGCTAAGGGTCCACTGAGTTGTGGCCTCAGCTCCACCGTATACTGGTCTGTAGAGACACATCAGGCCCTTTCAAAATTTTCTAAGAAGGCCTCTGTATCATCACCTACCTTGTATGTGGGGAATTTCTTGGAATGGGGAGTGGTACCTGGAGGAGTGTTTGGGCTACCTGGCTGACCCAGCTTAGCCCTTTCCAGCTCTAAGCGCTTCAGCTCTGTCTCCGCTTCTAAGCGCTTCACCTCCATTTCTGTCTCCAGTCGCTTCACCCTTCTCCTCTCCTCCACTTCCAAGTGCTTCTCCTTCACCTCCAAGTGCTTCTCCTCCACTTCTGCCTCCAAGCACTTCATCTGTAGAAAGAAATTCCTTTCTTCCGCAGTTAGAACTCGGTCTGGGTTAAGGGCATCCCTCCACCATATCACCTGGATCTTGGGTTGGGAAGGGCTGACCATTCCTTCTGGAGAAATCTCCAGTCCCCCATCCCCTCTCTGCATTTCTGTCATGGAGCTGGATGTCTGGGCTTGATCTGGGTCTGTCTTCTCTGTGGCATGCCGCTTTGGGAAGATTGGTTACTCTAGGGTTTTGGTGCCCAACCGCAACTTCATGCACAGGTCTGCCCTGCTCTAGTCTAGCTATTTAGTTGCCACAAAGCTAGAAAAAAAAATAACCTGCTTGTTGGATTCCCTGGCTTTGCAGGCTGAACCCTTTGCATGCCTGTTCCCCCTCAGGCAGCAATGAAAAGAAAAGAAATGGGGGGGGGAACCCTCCCTGGCTTTGCAGGCTGCCAAAAGGAAAAATGTGTCCTTTTAAAATCCTGAGGTCTGTGCCTCTGTTTCAAAATGATCCCACTGCTCTGCTACCATGTCAAGGCTAATTCCCCACTCTGGCACTTCGAGTGCAGAAGGTGGGGGCCCTCAAGGATTCTAACAATTAATACTGGCCACTCCAAGCAGGGCTGGCTTTAGGCCGATTCCACTGATTCCCCGGAATCGGGCCCCGCGCTCAGAGGGCCCCGCGCCTTAGGCACCTTTTAAAATTTTTAATTTTTTTTACTCACCTGGCGGCGGTCCGCTCCGGGTCTTCGGCAGCATTTCGGCGGCAGGGGGGTCCTTCAGTGACGCAGAAGATGCAGAGCGGACCCCCCGCCTCCGAAGTGCCGCTGAAGACCTGGACCACTGCCAGGTATTCGAATCGAGCCCCGCAGGTCCTAAAGCCTGTTATATTAAACTCCCAAGGTTATGGCTTCTCTCTGACCTTGGATTGGTAGATGCTGCCACCACTCAAGTGAGAGCCCAGGAAGGCACACTTGGGAATGCCTTCCTGTGGGGTACCCTCAAGCCCTTTCACCACCACCCCTCCAGGGAAGAACTGAGGGGAAAAAAAGGAAACTCAGCTGTTACCACCAGCTAATTAAACAATATGTGCACAAACCTCTTAAGACACAAAAATCCAATTCTGTTCTTAGAAAAGGTCAACTTTATTAATAAAAAAAAAGAAACAAAATACATCTGGGAACTCAGGCTATTGCTAGATTTTAAAAGAGCAACTACAAGGATTAAGTACCAAGAATAGCTTCCTTGAGATCCAGCTTGAAGGTTACAAGCAAAAAAAAGCACCTGGGATTAGCACAGAGGAATACACAAGCCATAATGAAATAAAAGGGCTAAATCTAATCACATCTTCCTAGACATTTCCTGATCTACTTACATATCTGGGGTTTTAAATGAGTAGTTTCTAGGTATGATACCAATGATTTTTTCATACCTGGGCCAAGCTTCTTACAGCATAGCTGCTGTCCTGTCCACCTCTCCCCGGGAGAACAACCACAGACAGACAAAAGGGCAGTCTTTTTTCAATTTTAAAAAGTTCTAGCCTTTCCATTGGCTCTTTTGCCCAGGTGCCCACTCACTTCCTTTTTCTATGCATAGCAGTGAGACTTTTTAACCCTTTACAAGTAGAGCAAGATATGAAGTGGAACATAAATGTGAAAAAAAAAAAAACCCCTCTACCTTTGACTATGACATTGCCCAGTTACCCACTAAATTTAAAGAGAGAGACAGAAGGAATTGGGGGGAGGGATAGCTCAGTGGTTTGAGCATTGGCCTGCTAAACCCAGGGTTGTGAGTTCAACCCTTGAGGGGGGCCACTTGGGGATCTGGGGCAAAATCAGTACTTGGTCCTGCTAGTGAAGGCAGGGGGCTGGACTCAATGACCTTTCAAGGTCCCTTCCAGTTCTAGGAGATGGTATATCTCCATTAATTTCAATTAGAGAACATCTATTAAGAGGGATTTTATAGTTACGGGCTGGCTAGGTGTCCATAAAAGGGAGCTACTCCCACCCCTTCATTTATCACAGTAGCTGACTAAATTATGGCAATTTGTGTGAACTTCAGGAAACCTGTGCATTGGGTTGATAACATTATTTTGTTCATATTTTTCTGTTGTGTGTCCATCCATGATTCCAGAGTTGTTTAAAGAGATACAGTTATCTTAAATAGGTACGCTAATACAGACCTGCTAGTCTTAATAAAAAATAAATTACTTTTCCCCCTTGTTGTATAGCAAATTAATAGAATTATTCTTTTGCTTTTCAGTATTTCCAACATGTTACATTCTAGAGAGATGTATGACCGACTACAACTCTAAGGTCCTTTTTTTAATTCACTTCTCCATGGTCTCCATTTGCAAAAGTGTATAATACAGTCCCTTTCAAAGAAGTATCTCGAACTCTCTTTAAAATCATAGATCAGGGATCTCAAACTCAAATGACCATGAGGGCCACATGAGAACTAGTACATTGGCCCAAGGACAGCATCACTGACACCCCCCCCTCCCCGCTGCCCGGCCCCGCACCTGTCCTGCCTCTTTCCACCCCTTCCCCACCCCCATTCCAACCCCTTCCCCAAAGTCCCCACTCCAACTCCACCCCCTCCCTGCCCCTATTCCAACCCCTTCCCCAAATCCCCGCCCCTGCCTCGCCTCTTCTCCATCTCCTCCCATGAGTGCGTGGCTCCCCGCTCCTCCCCCTCCCTCCTGGAAAGTGCTAAGCACTGCCAAACAACTGTTTGGCATCAGGAAGTGCCTGGAGGTAGGCAGAGGAGCAGAGACACGGCATGCTGGGGCCGGGGGGGGGGTGTGGCAGGAGAGCTTGGCGGCTGCAGGAAATAACTCTGGGGAGGGTGGGGGGGCATGGGGAGCTTGGCGGGCCACAGCAAATAACTCTGTGGGCCACATGCAGTCTGTGGCCCACGTGTTTGAGACCCCTGTCATAGATGTTCTTCCTCACAGAAGCAGTTGGCATTGTCAATACATGACAATCTCTTAGTATATTAATTATAAATTGACTTGATTTACTCCTGATGCCATATATTGTTAATAGACTTACATACTGTTGTGATGGGAACCATCATAAGACCCTAAAAATTATAGCAAACAGTTACCCTGCTGGACTTAAAAAGTATTATATGTTTTTAATACTGTTATACTTTCATGCATGCAGTGAGAGATGGAAAATGAATGTGTGACTCTTTTTGGTAAATGGTGCGCTAGCTATGATTAAAAAGAAATGAAAGTGCAGACTTTACAAAAGACTGTATGACACTTTTTTAGTAAATGGTATAGTAGCATTCATATCCTTTTATTGACTTCAGCTGTCTTTCCATAGTTATAGCTATAATTAACTTTCCATTCTGACATAGTTCCAATTTTGTCACCACTACAGCAAATACTCTGGGGGGAATCATTCCACCTTCAATTTCTTCTGTCTCTCTCTTTAAATTTAGTGGGTAACTGGGCAATGTCATAGTCAAAGGTAGAGGTTTTTTTTTTTTCACATTTATGTTCCACTTCATATCTTGAAAACATCAGTTCCAAATTTGGTTGTACTGTATTTTTCTTCATCCGAAGTGGGTAGTATCTCCTGATGTTTAGGAACAGATTTATATGTTAATTTAGGAATTATTTAATACTTTTGATATCCACCTATGTTAAATCCACAGCATTTGTAAATTCTACAAATCATATTTCACCATTACTATTAACCATTATAATTTTAACACATCACAGCCTTCTTAAGTTTTGTCCCAGAACTGTCTGTATATATTGGGTTTAAGATGTCGATATTTAAAACTGCAAGGAGTTTTTAGAATTACTGTGTAAACTGCCTGCAGAATGTAAAGCCCTCAGACACTTGTAGTGCTTTACATAATATTAATACTTAACAAATGTATACATAAATAAATTCCATTTTACAGAACCAATTAAGTGCATGAAGATGCCAAAAACTAGTAAACAATGTTAAAAACCTCCCCTAACCTTCTAGAGCAATTGGTCATTACAGGCTTTTGGTGCAGGCTCCACCACCAATGCCCCTCTATATGCTTTAGGTTAAATCCTGGCCTTACTGTAAGTAATAGGAGTTTTGTTATTGACTTCAATGTGGCCAGGATTCCAACCCCTGCAGTAGTATCTCTAATACAACTTATCTCCTGCAGTGTGCAGAACCTGCTGCTGTCTAGTAGAGCTAGAACTTTTCCAGTCCCTGGAGTCTCTACTGGCTACTATAACCATGCCTGCCACTAGAGGGTTTCTATGTGGGGCTGAAGCTGATGCAGACCACCAAGCATTCCTGCACAATATGGGCTGAAGGCAGCAGAGGGAGAAAAGCAGAACAGGAATTCCAGACCCCTGCAGGACTAATTCAGATGAATCCCACAGAAGAAGGGTACAAGGCTTCCTGCACATGGTCTCTTTTTTGGGGCAATTTGAAGAGGTACCCAGTACACCTTAGAAATGGAAAAACTTATTAAAGCCTAATTGAGGTATGGCGGTCAGGATGGAGGTCTTCATGGGACATGATATTTTATCTATTAGCATCATTTTAAACTCTGGTTTAAAAAATGTTTGAAGTTCCATTATTACATTTTAACTTTTTTTAACATCTGCTAAATCTGAGGCTCTTAACAATATCCCTCTCCTTTCAAAGATTATTACTCTGAAGATATGATGTACAAATTATGTGTTGATTATCATTTTTCCATGTATACAAAATGTAAATGAACATGGTATTTAACCAGTTTCAATATCCTTTTGTACCTATTTGTCTTGTTTGTATTCTGATAGCTTTTGAATGGAAAAATATCATCACTTTCACAATAGCTCATGTATCATTAGATATCCCATTTTCAGCTACCAGTATCTTCTATGGCAATTCCTCTATAATAAAAATCTTTAAGCAGAGGCACTATTCTTATTTTCAGAAGATTTTAAGCATTATAGAATTGATACAAATTTTGATGTCAGAGTACAATTTCAAGTTCCAGATATGGAGCTTATTGTACTTAATAAATTTTATCCTATTTTCAAAGGTTTGCTGAGAGATTAAGTATAGTCCTGGAAGAAACCATAAATGTAACATTGGTTATTAGTCTTCTCAACCTAAAGAAGGCAACAGGGTCTTTTTCTCAGCAGGTCTGATAAAATATAGACAGTACTTTATATTTTGAAATAATAATCTGCCTATTTGAAACTAATATGCATTAAAGCTGTGCAAGTAACTTATTTTTTGTGTCACTGGCCAAACGAGTTCAATTTGGAATATTCAACTTGAATTTGCAAAATGATTTGCTTGCCCTGAGTCTTCACTTTTTGGTGGGAAAAGTTTCATGTGTAAAATTTCGTTCAGCTGTAATATACATACCATATTCTGAGCTGTGTACAAGACACAGAAGGAAACTCTGCAGCTGTTATGACAATCAGCTATGAATGAGATATCTTATCATTGTCTTTCATAACTCATTGGTCTTGTTTTCTGATAAATCCCACTCTAGCCTTTTAGAGCTTAAAAGGTCCTTTTAACAAAATAATCCTCCATTCTAGCTAAATATTTAAGAGCTGATCCAACATGTTGTGCACAACTTCCACATCTTGCACAACCAATGACTTTTTGGTTTACAAAACTCTGAACATGAAACAATATCCTGCTTGCCTAAAATTCCCTACCTACTTATATACTAAACTGTCTCAGAAGTGTGGTTTGTCTCAAATTCTGGGCCATCTCAAATTTAGATTGTTTGAAACGCAAGGAATTTTGGTGGCTCCTTATCTATTTTGATTTTTTTTTAATCCTGCCTCAGTGTGGGGAATGGATTTGATCAGTGTTTCTCAACTTTTTTTTTTTTTTTTTTTAATCAGGGACTGGCTTGCTGCCTTCCTAAACTGTGTTAGGGAGATCTCAGGTGCTAGCACCGCTTCACAGACCGGTCATTGAGAAACACTGGACTATATAATCTCTTCAGGTCCTTTCCAGCCTCACGTGTATGTGATTTTATTATTCTATTTTTTAAATAACAGAATTCTGCTGTAATTGAGAAATTTCCCACTTGAAAACCTCAGCGCTTGAAAATTACTAAAGCATTTTAAATTACCCTATTATTACTTAATTCTATAAAATAAACCATGTCTGGTGTTAATATCTTCAGCCATTACCTATATAGAAAAAGTCTGGCTGAAACACACAGAGAAAAATGTGGTCTTGAGTGTCATTATACGAAGATTGTTGTAATCTGCACTGGCAATGTAAAGAGGCCTTGAAATTAATATAAATGTAATTTTAGCCCACTGCAAGTCCCTTTTACATTCCTGGAGTGGTGTAAAATAGTGATCTTAGTGTAAACGAGAACTGGGCCTTGGAGCAGCCACTCAAGACAATCTGCCACCTAGACAAAACTTCAGTGTGCCCCTCCCCCGCATAGGTGAAGCAATGTACAGTGGATGGGACTCTGATGTACAATAAGTAGAGCGCTGTGCAGTGGGTGACTCTGTGTGATTCAGTTGGTGGCAGTTGAGGTAGAATGGGCAGAGCTGTGTTTTACAGTGGGTGGAGCTCTGAGCAGGGTGGGGCACTGGTTGTGTGGTGGTTGGTTGAAGGAGCATGTGTGACAGGGGAACAAATAGTTCTATAATGGCAGCACTGGCGGTGGCAGGAGCAGGCCAGCCTATGAGCATTATTTTTTTTTAATTTTTTATCCCAGAGATCTGCCACCCTAGGCACCTGTCTAGTTTTCCAAATCGAGAGGTAGGGTCCAGATATTCCTGGATGTGATAGCTGACAGATTTCTTCATCCAAGAGTCACCTAACCAAAAAGAGGTGATGCCATTTTAGGTTTAGCACTGGTAAGTAGCAAGACAGAATTGTATAAACTGAAGCCTGCATCTCAAGCAAAATCAAAGGACTGGGTTGCAGACCAAACTGGATGAACAAGCACCTCAAACAGGCTATTAAGAGAAAGCAGAATGCCTACAAGGAATGGGAGATGATTGGATCAGCAAGGACAACTACCTCTTGAAGGACAGAAAATGTAGGGGAAAAGTAAGAACTGCCAAAAGTCAAGCAGAGATGGACTGTGCAAAGAAAATGAAATCAATAGTAAAGGATTCTTTAGACATATAGATAATAAGGAAATAATGCATCCGAAGAAATGGGTATTCACCCACGAAAGCTCATGCTCCTATACGTCTGTTAGTCTATAAGGTGCCACAGGACTCTTTGCTACTTTTAAGGAAATAATTGGGACCACTAAGCACTGAGGATGGGATTAATCTTGCTTTTATGAAAGATAGATCGTGCCAGACCAAGTTGAACGCTTTCTTTGAGAAAATAACTGATTTTTTAAGACAAAGGAAATGCAGTAGATCTAATCTACCTGGATTTCAGTAAAACCTTTGATACAGATCCACATGGGAAATTATTAGTTAAATTGGAGAAGATGGAGATTAATCTGAGAATCAAAATGTGGGGAAGGAACTGATTAAAGGGGAAACTACAATGAGTCATGCTGAAAGGTGAACTGTCAGGCTGGAAGTAGGTTAATAGTGGATTTCCTCAAGGATCAGTCTGAGACAAATCCTATTTAACATTTCCATTAATGAATGAAATTTCCATCCTTGGCACAAAAAGTAAGAGTGTGTGGATGACGCAAAGTTGGGAGGTATTTCCAAAATGGAGGAGGAGTGAAATATCCCACAAGATTTGGATGACTGTGAACATTGGAATAATAGAAATGGCATGAAATTTAATAGTACAAAATGGAAAGTCATGCATTTAGGGCCTGACAACAAGATTTTTTGCTGCAAGCTGGAGTCCTATCAGTTGCGACTGATAGAGGAGGGGAAAGAACTGGGTGTATTGGTCAATCACAGAATGACTATGAGCCGCCAACATGATATGACTGTGAAAAAGGCTAATACAATCCTAGGATGCATCAGGTGAGGTATTTCCAGTAGAGATAGAGAAGTGTTATTGTCATTATACAACGCACTGGTGAGATCTTACCTGGAATACTGTGTGCAATTCTGCTCTTCCATGTTTAAAACAGATGAATTCAAAATGGAATACGTGCAGAGGAGAGCTACTAGGATGATTAGAGGAATGGAGAAGCTACCTTATGAGGGGAGACTTCAGGAGCTTGGCTTGTTTAACCTAACCAAACGAAGGATGAGGGGAGACATGACTGTGTTCTGTAAATATAGGGATAAACATCAGGGAGGAATAGGAGTTACTTAAATTAAGGGCCGCTGTTGGCACAAGAACAAATTAATATAAATTGACCAGAAATAAGTTTGGGCTTAAAATTAGACAAAGGTTTCTAACCATCAGAGAAGTGAAGTTCTGGAACAGCCTCCCCAGGGTGTAGTGGGGACAAAAAAATGAACTTGTTTTAAGACTGAGCTTGATAAATTTTATGGAGGGGATGATATGATTAGATTGCCTACAATGGCATATGGCCCATCAAAAATTAGCAAATATCTCCTGTGGTGGGGGATGGGACATAATGTGAGTTATTACAGGGCATGCACACCTAAGAGATAGGAAACCCCTGTTCAAATTACTTTTTGGGGGGTGGGGTGGAGGGGGAAACAGCTGAATTGTTCACTAGCATGGTAACCATCCTCTGCTACCAGTGGTAAAACAGATCTTTAATGGCCCACAGCTGGGGCGATTGTTATGGGTACCAGTAGAAATTCGGATTCAATTTGCTCAATGCACAACAATTTATTTGAGAAAGAATCACACAAACAGTAAAAGGTTACATAATATGTCTCTCTAATAAGCCTCAATTCCCCAACCATAAACCCTCAGTAGCATAGTATCCTGTTTGGCACACAAAGCAGGTATAGCTACCAGTCCTAGATGGAGACTTCTTTTCTTCTCTTCTTTTCCCTTCTCAAGTACTTAGTCTGTCAAATGTCCCCAGAAGCAGGGTCTTGGTTACCCCAAGGCCCTCTGTCTTACAGTGTCACAGACCTCTGCAGATGTTAATTGGGGAACTAACTAACTAACTAACTAACAATGATTTTTAGCACTTACACCTTTTGTTATTAAAAGAGTCACATCCCAGAAATATGTCTTGTGAGCATTTCATTACTGTTTTTTTCTAATTAATATTTTAGAAAGGGGTTGCAAACAGACACAACCAAAAGTCAGTTAACATTTACCCTCTCATCAATCATTCACTTAATGTCTTAGCGTGGTGTCACCCAAGAGGGTCATTTTGACCTGACTCAGCCTGTGCCAAGCTCACTGATGGCATGTTTTTGCATTTTCTTTACTTGGTGAGCTGGCCCTCGGCTGATATGACCAAAGTTCTATGTCGAAACACATACACACAGATAGAGCCTCTTATCACTCTCAGTAAATTTCTATACCAACTGTTTGATGCTAAGAGAACCCTGCTCCCAGAATCCTCTAGCAAATTCAGATATACCAAGTCATACCAAACTCATGTTCACCACATTCATTGAAAACAATCACAGTAATTCA